TTTAGTATAAATTAAAGAGTTAGGGTACATGTTAAGGGATATAATTAATATTTTTTCATAATTAATTTGTATGAAAAAAGATAAATGTTAATTTTAAATTAATTAATTAATTAATTAAAATTATTTATTTGTCAATCGTGTTAAAATAAATATTATATTTTATAAATTTTTTATATAAATTAAATACAAAATATGTATTTATTGCACCCTTAAATATAGGTTAGATAAACTCTAAACTGAATTGTAAAAATTGTTTTTTAAAAATTAAATATTTTTTTATGTATGGTAAATTAAATATTGAAAGTACTAAAACTAAGATAATAATATTATAAGTTTCTTATAAAAATTAATTGTGACTCTTAAAAATTTAAATTTAACTTGGTATAGTATTTAGAATTGTAGTTAATTTTTATACTTATATATCATTTCTTATTCTTTTTTGAACAAAAAGGAATTTTCAGAAAAAAAAAGTGTAAGATTTAAGTATAAAACTCAAATTATTATGTCTAACTACACCCTTAAACGAGGGAATCAATAGGCCACCAAGGGTTGGACTATATCACTTCTTATTCTTATCTCTTCTAGATGTGAGATTAGGCAACACAATTTAGATTTTGTCTCATTAGATTTTTTTAGTTTAGATTTGGTAATGCAAAATACTATTTTCTTTTTTCTTTGAAAATGGTTGGAGATATTTTCTCAAGTGTTAGGTTAGACTGAACTAGTTCTCGTGGGGCAGATGCTTTACCCTGCAAGTTAAATACTTTTAACCATCTTATCACACGAAATTAAATCTAATTTATTCAATAGAGAATTATCTTTCTTGGGATTAAAGGATCTTACGTCTATAATATTATTTATATGAAAAACTTTTATAATCAGATCATCGTGGTTTGACATTCAAAGAAAAATGTGACAATCGTGTAGTGACTGCTTTTTTTTTTTTTTTCTTAATAACCAAATTGTAGTAATTATTAAAGATCAGCAATCCAATTGTTATTCTATTAGAAGTCAATGACCCCAATCCCAATAATATCAACTCAAGTGAGAAAAAACGATGTGAGATGATATCTTTTAGTTTCTTTTTTTATTTATTTATTTATTTATTTATTTATTTTAAAATATATAATAAAAGGTAAACTTTTT